AAAATATAAATGAATTATTATCGTTTTTACAGAAGAGAAAATTTTACAAAAAATAAATAAACGCAAAACAAAATGTTTCATATAATGATTTTTTAACGTAGACTACTACATTTATACTTTGAATTTATATACCAGGTGTAAAGTTTTAAAAACCTCATACTTTTAATAACTTTCTAATTATATTCTTTTTATTATTACTTTCTATTATTTGTTATATCTTAGGTTAGAGACCTTGATCTCCATTTACCGCACTGTATTTCAATATAAAAAGGTAATTTAGTAATAATAATAATAACTAACCTATTACGAATCATGATGTTTCATTGATAGGGCATAGGGTTTCTATCAAGCCGTGTTCTCTTCTCGGTTTTAAATAAACTTTTGAAGGTCATCTAAGTTAGCATTTTATAAAAACGGACGAAATAGACCGTCAACTGTAAATTTATGTTCTTTTTTATAAACTTCTATCAATTGTTAAATTGTACCAAGCGCTTAATTGAAAGATCCATTTATTATATCAGATGTCTAATAAAAATCAAGTGACGTAAACATTGGCAAATGAAAGACGTTAGGTTTCACGTTACGTTCAGCTTAAAAAATGGCCGGGGTCATGATAATAGATGAACGATCATAAATTTTTCAATAACACAAGATTTCTAAATTAGTGAATACAATTAAAAAGTGTAATACACCATATTTTCTGCAGTTTCTTTTATGGACGATGTGGTTGATGGTTTTGAATGTTTAAATGACCTGTTCAAATAGTCAAATTATGTCGAAACAATGAAAATGCGATTTCGCATGCTTGCAAAACAGGTTTTTTAATGAAATATATTATTAATATTATCATGTATCTCAAATTACCTCGGCAATTCTTTTCCTGACATCGTTTTGTTTCCGTTTTGTTCCCCGGATAAGTTAGTTCACGCTTTGATGGTGGGGTAAGACATATCCTGTTTCGATTTGTGTTCCGGTTCCGCATGTGACGTCACAGGAAGACCATGGCATCCAGGGTGTCCAATGACCTACATATTACATTAATGTATACATTAATTAAAGCTGTATAGAAGAACGCGTACGATTTGTAATTAATTATGTTTAGTTTAAACTATGATGCAAGCGGTGAAGCTTCTGTTTATGATTGCTTCCAGACAACGGGAGTCGTGTTGTCAATCTACTGCACAAATTCAAAATATTTATTTGGCAAACTAATAACGAAAGGCCAGTTCCTTCCACCAGGATAACATGGTGGGCATAGAATGCAGAAAAGAATATAATCATTATTCAAAATATTGCGACGTGCGAGCGGGGGGGGGGGAGACTAAGTCTAGATCTAATAATTATTTCTTGGCGTAGTCAGTAGATGCATTGCTACTTTAGTAATGTGATAATGATGACAAGTTTTGCTTGTTTAATGTTGAATTTACATGATAATACCATGTCATTTTAACTTACATAAACTGTTTATAATTATTTGAACATGTCAATATTAAAAAATAAATATTGTAATTAACTGCAGTCTAAATAAAAGTAATCTTCACTGTTTCTTATAAATGTCCTTGTAAATGATTATTTTATATATAATCATGCCATGACGATGAAGTCACAATATATTACGGTTAGATACTGTATCATCGGAATGAGTACTTCTATTTCTTTCAATTCCAAAAAGGATGGGTTTAATACTATGTTTAATTAGTGACGGTTGCTAACTGACTAATGCCAATATTAATTGTTTAAACATGTAGTCAACTTCTACAATGTTCTAGTTTTTTTTTTTAATTTTGAGTTGTATTGAATTTACCTGTACATTGTTTACTGCATGTTCTCGTTTCTACGTGACTTCCGGTACAACTGTCTGGACTAGTACAACCACGGGATCGACTTTGCGTTCCTGTACCACACGTGACGTCACAGTTCGACCAATTTGACCATTCTATCAAAATAAAGCAGCGGAAACAAAAATGAATTGTCACCGAATATCTGGATATGGGGTGATTCCTTGGAACCAGTGAAAACAACAATATTATATGAAAATTGTCGGATTGTTTGAGCCCGTTTCTTGCTTATAATGTAAAAATGCAACATCTCTCACACCCCGGTACCGGTTTAGGTTTTATTTAAGGATATGGAAGATTTTAAGACTTTTGACGGCAATTTTATTTTAATTATTTTACTCTTATTCGGAAAAGACATATTCCCCACTCGACTGCTTAAACATCAAAATAGAAACAAAATACGAGTAATAATACCTTTAAAATTGCTGAATCCAAATATGAATACGTGTTTAACCATTTTTCTCTTTATTAAGACTTTTGTCATATTGTAAAAGAGATTGGTAAGAAAGGTATAATACCCGTATTACAAAGACCACAGAAGTTCCGGCACACCCGTCTGGCAAGGTCTGTATTCTGACAAATATTGCTGACGGTATTCATGAAGGAGCAGTCGACTTTTATATCATCTAAACATGCCCCAGTTACTGTAAAATATCGTTGTTGTGTTTAAGCCACACCGACACAGTGAATGTTAATACAGAAATAACAAGTCAGTGCTGCCTTTCTTTTTTTAACTTAAGGCACATGAATAGAACCGCCGACCTTTTTAAAGTTGGCTGAATGGCTTTATCACATGAAAGTATCGTAAATAATTAACACCACATCTTAAGCGATTTGGTCTATATAGCCACCTGTCTTAGCATATTTTCCCCAGCGAAATTCTTTCTTAATATTGTATATTCTAATTTATGCGCCATGGTGATTTCTAATTTGAAATTTTAACTGTTACATATGATTTGTATCTATTGATTGAAATTATGTGTTGAAAGGTTATAAATTGTATTAAATGAAATATTAACATGATGCCTTTCCGCATAGATATTTATTGCAATTGTTTGAGCTGCAGCATTCGTTACAGCCTTGCACCGTCTCCCGTTTATATCCTAACACCATTGATCCGCCATTTTGATTTGATCCGCAGTTCTATAATGAAAAAGAAATATACATTGTAGACCGACGCGGCCTTTTGGTGGCGATGTGATTTTTTCTGGTAGGTGATAAATTGTTTTTAATGTCGTCGTTTTCTCATGTATTTCAATGAGTAAATACCCAATATTGATAACAAACGAGTTTTCTGGTGAGTTTTCTTCTCAAAATGAATAAAAATAGATTCTCTCAGGAGGTTTCTGATTCTACCTTTAATTATTTTGTACAATAACATAATAATTATAATCTGTAATTGATCATGAATTTAGAACTAGCATGATAGTCTTGAAGAACATGTATCACATGTGAATAACACTCATTGTAGAATAGTTGATCAATCTCTTCAATTGAATTTCAAGCACATTCAGTGTTATTACCCCTCACTTTTTTCGTAATGTTATTTTCCCTTAGGCCTCTGGGAGTTATTCTTACTGTTAATGCAAGTGTACCACGTGACTAAGAAGTTTGTACTGTTACATAGGTAACAGTATTTTTTAACAGTATCAAATAGATAAATACAGAATCCCTGAAGAAAGCCCAACACGACAAAATTGAAAATGTTGCAGGCTCGGTTTGATTGAGCCTGTTCATGGACGGTACTTGAAAGTGCAAGTTACCGTCCACGCCCCCTAGCACCGGCTTAAGCAGAATTCAACATTTAAACATGAAATGGTAAAATTTTGAATTTATAAACATCCGCAGATGTGTTCATACGGCGGTTATAATGGAACCTTCAATGTGACACAGTAGTGCCATTCCATGAAAAGCGGCGTATGGTCCACAAGTAATAAAAGGCGTGTGCCCTAAACGAGAAAACACTGGGCGGAACTAAATAAAATGGAATTTTGAAAGGGGATCAGAGGTTATGAAGCCTGCATATCACAGATAAGACGTCAAAAGTTAAAAAGCAGGCAACATATCCTAAGGGTGATTCAACATTATTCAAGTAGGAATATTGGAACCACCCCATTCACACCGTACAATCAAATGGGCAGACAGCTGTTCCAGCGTCCACAGCTGTACCAGTATATACATGTCGGCGCGGGGAATACAATTGACGTATGATAAGTATTCATCTATTTTTAACATATCCAAACTGTGTTCGAGTCAATCAATGTTATGGATTCATAGTCAACATCCAAAGAAGCATGCTAACAAATTTCTGGCCCTGTGCAAGCTTTACTTCACATGAATTTTGACTGAAAATAACCACACTATCCGATGAGATGCGGTATTTTTAGTTTGAAGTCACAAAAACTTATATTTTCTCATGATAATTAATCCTTTTTTCATACGATTCGTAAACGTCAACATTTTGTCATTAAATATTCCAAACCATACCTTCAAAAAAGCTTTTCTGTTAAAGTTATAAGGTATTTAAGTTTGAGTGTCATCAAAATTTTAGTAATGTCATCAGCTGTTCGCCTCTTTTTAATGATAACATCGACAGCAATTCATCGGCAAGGATGAATAACGCTGAAAGCTGTTCAAAGAAACAATTTTCAGAGCTTTTGTCCTACAGTCACTAGGAAAATGTAAAACTTTTTTGTTCATTCAAAATATTATTTTATTCATGATTCTTTCTAATTATATTATTTTTATAATTACTTTCTATCATTTGTTGTATCTTAGCTGAGAGGCCTATATCTCCATTTACCGCACTGTATTTCAATATTGATATTGTTCATATGAGTGAGTGAGTGAGTGAGTGAGTGAGTGAGTGAGTGAGTGAGTGAGTGAGTGAGTGAGTGAGTGAGTGAGTGAGTGAGTGAGTGAGTGAGTGAGTGAGTGAGTGAGTGAGTGAGTGAGTGAGTGAGTGAGTGAGTGAGTGAGTGAGTGAGTGAGTGAGTGAGTGAGTGAGTGAGTGAGTGAGTGAGTGAGTGAGTGAGTGAGTGAGTGAGTGAGTGAGTGAGTGAGTGAGTGAGTGAGTGAGTGAGTGAGTGAGTGAGTGAGTGAGTGAGTGAGTGAGTGAGTGAGTGAGTGAGTGAGTGAGTGAGTGAGTGAGTGAGTGAGTGAGTGAGTGAGTGAGTGAGTGAGTGAGTGAGTGAGTGAGTGAGTGAGTGAGTGAGTGAGTGAGTGAGTGAGTGAGTGAGTGAGTGAGTGAGTGAGTGAGTGAGTGAGTGAGTGAGTGAGTGAGTGAGTGAGTGAGTGAGTGAGTGAGTGAGTGAGTGAGTGAGTGAGTGAGTGAGTGAGTGAGTGAGTGAGTGAGTGAGTGAGTGAGTGAGTGAGTGAGTGAGTGAGTGAGTGAGTGAGTGAGTGAGTGAACGAACGAATAAACGAACGAATGATGCAATATATGTATATGTTAGAACAAATTGTCTGTAGAAAGTAAATGAGTTGTAATATTCTAAAAAATACATATTATACATTCATTTTTCTTCCTATGCATGTCCTGTTGTTGTTGTTGTTGTTTTCTATTTCAGAAGGCCACATTGGAAATAAGATATATATTATTGTTATTGTATGTTATTAATGTATAACCTTCTTTAAATAAAGATATTATTTTTATTATTATTATTATAATATTAAAAAGGTAGCAAGATCTATTAATATGTTTCTGAAATGTTAAATTCAAAGAAAGTAAAGGCAAATTTAACGCTTAATACGAATACTCTGTATTATAACTAAATCCATCAAGTGTTATTATAAATAATGGCATATAGTAGACATGTCTCATGCAGTAAATGGATGTGTAACCCGAGATGTCTGCCATGTAAAATGATTTATTTAAAAAATAAAAATTTGAATAATTTTTAAGAATGGTTATTATTTCTATTGCACTATACATTAAAACAAATTTCAAGGATAAATAACACAATGTTTTTCCATGCACTTTCATAATTTGGGTTACACAGCCATTCACTGCATAGGACTTGTCCATTATATGAATTATTTATAATAACACTTGATGGATGCCTTCATTTACAAGACTGAATATTAAGCGTTAAATTTGCCTTTGCCTTTTGACTTAAACATTATATAAACCTATCATACAGGAACTCCACTGAGGTTAATAAGCCTAAAAACATAAAATTCTATTTTTTCACATAAAAAACATGAGCACTAAAACATAAATATTAATCAAATATAACCAAGAAATATAGAAGAAATACATTGAAAATCATATGTTTGTGCTATTCTCAGTCCGATTTGAGTGAAAAACGTTTTAACTCTTTTTAATTTTGGGTCATTTTTTCACTATTATAATATTTTGGAAAAAACGGAGCAAGCTAATGATAGGAAATTTTGCATATAAGTTATTAGTATAGATCTACATCAAATAGAGGAATAATCTCAAAAAATTATTTCCAGTCACGTCATGTCAAAAAACCGAAGTGGAGTCCCTTTAATAGGTTTTGCTACCTTTTTATATTGAAATACAGTGCGGTAAATGGAGATCAAGGTCTCTCTAACCTAAGATATAACAAATAATAGAAAGTAATAATAAAAAGAATATAATTAGAAAGTATCATGAATAAAGTAATATTCTAAATTAACAAAAAAGGTTACTCTTTCCTAGTTACTGTAGGACAAAAGCGCTGTTGTAAATACATGTAATTGTTTCTTTGAACAGCTTTCAGCGTTATTCGTTCTTGCCGATGAATTGCTGTCGATGTTATCATTAAAAAGAGGCGAACAGCTGATGACGTTACTAAAATTTTGATGACACTCAAACTTAAATACCTTATAACTTTAACAGAAAAGCTTTTTTGAAGGTATGGTTTGAAATTTTTAATGACGAAATGTTGACGTTTACGAATCGTATGAAAAAAAGGATTAATTATCATGAGAAAATATAAGTTTTTGTGACTTCAAACTAAAAATACCGCATCTCATCGGATAGTGTGGTTATTTTCAGTCGAAATTCATGTGAAGTAAAGCTTGCACAGGGCCAGAAATTTGTTAGCATGCTCCTTGGGATGTTGACTATGAATCCATAACATTGATTTACTCGAATACAGTTGGGATATGTTAAAATAGATGAATACTTACCGTACTTCAATTGTATTGTATTCCCCGCGCCGACATGTATATACTGGTACAGCTGTGGGCGCTGGAACAGCTGTCTGCCCATTTGATTGTACGGTGTGCAATTAGAAAATGCCAAAAAGTTTTAAACTAAAAATACCACAAGCACAACAATAATGTCGTGCTGAACGATCTTCAAGGATCGAAAATATAACATCATTGATTAAATGTACGGGGAGACTTTTTTACAGCCGCCATGGTCATGTGATCTATTTTCTAAATAAAATAAATTAAATGGTTGCCATTTCTCTCTCGATTCATTCTTATTTTCGACGATAGGGCTAGGGCATCACAAAAGTAACAATGACTCTCATAAAATTAAGTTCTTTGGACACTAGAGTTCTTTTCGCGTATAAAATATCTTTTTGTTGAATAGTCTAAAAGTAAACATCCGTTTTCATCAACAGAAGTTATTGTAATGTGAATAATTTTGTGTCAAACTGGAACATGCAGACGATTAAAGCATGCAACAAAGGATTATTTAACAATTTTAACCAGTGAAACGTTACGGATAGATTTGGTGGACATCTGTAGGATATCATCGTTATTTTGTAAATGCACTTGGTCAAAAACCATGCGAAGAATATTCTGGATGCAGAAGGAACAGATTTCACAGCTCATAACCGTATAAATGGGTTAGTGTTTTGTTTTTCTAAATAAATCACAGCTTATTGTATGTTTATGACTGCTAGGGGGTGCTAGGGGGCGTGGACGGTAACTTGCACTTTCCAGTACCGTCCATGAACAAGCTCAATCAAACCGAGCCTGCAACATTTTCAATTTTGCCGTGTTGGGCTTTCTTTAGGGATTCTGTATTTATCTATTTTATGATCACATCCGTGTTATTTGTGCCGTGTGGCGGCTGTAAAAAGTCTCCCCGTACATTTAATCAATGATGTTATATTTTCGATCCTTGAAGATCGTTCAGCACGACATTATTGTTGTGCTCGTGGTATTCTTAGTT